TTTTCATTATCGCTTATATAACATTTGGACATTCCCCTCTCCACTTTCTTCCTACTTAGTTTCCCCCTCCAAAATAACTTGTGGGTGGAAAGGGGTGGCTCTCTCCTGATCTGAACCTACATTAGTTTTCTTTGAAATCAGATCATGTCAAGAGGCAGGATCAGTTTCCCCCTCCCCAATCCATGAACAACTGTTTGTTCGATTAAAAGTTCTACAAAAGACAATCTAAAGTTATAGGCCATTCAGTACAGTTGATTCTTGATGATTTTATGAACTGAGTTCACCATTTTAACCTCTATCATAATAGTAATTGCATTGATCCCATTTTTTGGCTTGCTATGTGCTGATAAAATTCATTTGGCATTACAGTAGCTGCAGGATGAAGCTCAGTTTACCCACTAGAAGATAAATGTCCTATTTAAAATAATGCCAATGAATGGCTGGAGCAACAGACGAGGGTAAATAATTACACAGAAAGAAGTATTATCAAGAACTATCAGTTACAGTATTGGAGTATTGAAAATAAACAATGAGGGTTCACAAATGTATTTATTTATCAAATTTATATAGCCCCCCCCCCCACCAAATCTCTTGGGTGGCACACAGCAATGAGATAAAACACATTGTAAAAAACCGTATATATAAATTCCAGATTAAAAAATATATAATGCTGTCTCACAATGCATGATTGTCCAAAGAAAGTGAGTGGTGGAACAAGCAAAAACCTCATTCATAAACTTTATTCCATTATACAATATAAAGAGATAGGGGATGTGATGGCTCAGTAGTTAAAGAAGCTGAGCTTGTCAGCTGGAAAGCTGACAGCCAAATTTGACACCTGAGCATAAGATGGCAGGGTGAGCTCCCATTACTTACTCCAACTCCTGCAAACATAGCAGTTTGAAAGCACACAAATGCGAGTAGATAAATTATTACCACTTCAGTGGGAAGGTAACAGTGTTCCTTCATACTGGCCACATGATCATGGGAATGTCTTTAGACAACACTGAGTCCCACAGCTAAGAAACAGAGATGAGCATCGCCCCCTAAGCATCAAACATGACAGGATAGGGAAACCTTTACCATTACAAAGGTAAAGACAGACCAAGAACAGAGATGACTTTAAAGGCAGATCAAACATATTAACAGAGGATAAGACAATTATTATAACTGTTTATTATGATGCTTCTTCCAAATGATGGTTTTTAATATCAGTCTGTTGTCAAATGGATAGTTGTAAGTGGATGGTTACCTGTATAGGTTGCATGAACAAGGAAAGAATAGATAGCTTTTTTCTCAGTCCTTGGCCAACCTGGGTTCAGTTTGTCATGTTCCATCCAGATTGTGACTTTCTATCTTGTCCTATTCCCATAAGGACAGTGAGATGTTATGGGTTCCCGCTTTGCCTAAGGATACAGTTTACAAATTCAAGATTAGCAAAAGGCAATAACTTTTTAGTGCAAAGATTTTATTAATGATCAACTTTTTAAAAGGATGCCTCTCCTCCCATATTCTCTCTCTTTCCTAAGAACTATATTCATTCATTTTATGCACATGGGTCTTGCCACAAATAAGGGTAGTTTGATTATTCTTCTATCCAATGAAAAGGACAGTTGCCTTTGTTATGGTTAGCCAACCAGTATTTTCTCCCCCACCCTTATCAAACAAAAAGGCAGTTGTATGTAGGTTTAGCTGATCAGCTATATATTTTCACAGTTCTTTCTTTTTGAAAATAACCTTTGATGTACCTCAGGGGGTGAAAAATTGCTATTGCAAGCATCCTTCCCTTTGCTGCAATTTCTAAATTCTATGCCATGGCTAAATCTGTAGATCTATAGACTATGGCTAGAGCTGATGGCTTTAACAATAAATTTGACCAAGGACTCAGTCATTGTAGTGTTTAATTTGGGGTAAGAAATAGGGCATTATAAAATGCAAGTAAATTGCCATGGTAGTTGCATCTTAAATTAGACAGAGATGTAACCAGGCTAAAGTTAGAAGAGTTTCATTGCAATTTCAATCTACAAAATTAGAAAAGGACCCACACACAATTGCTAATTTTAAAATTGTTTATCTCTGCATTTTAGTATCTTTATGCTTTTCAAAATAATTCAAAACATTACAAAATAATTGCCAATGGATTTTATCTGGCATCAGTCTATAAATGACTGTTCACATGGTATTAGAAACTCTGAGGTCACTGTACAGTATTGCACTGACAATTCCAACACAAATATGCACATATTACCGATTTGAGTTCCAGTTATATATGTGAAGGCTTTTCCCCAGACATGAGTAATTTGCAGTTTTCCAGATATTGCTCAACTAAAATTCTCCCCCAGAACAACCCAGCACACCAAGTATGAGAGATGCTCATCAGCATTTGAATCATGTAGGTTTCTTCTCCTTAAGCAAACATTCCATTACATTCATGAAAAGCAGATCTCTGCCTCGCACTCATTCTCCCTCTTTGTCTCATACAGGATGCAATTGAGGCTATTGCAGAAAGCGCTTTTAAAACCTCTCCCTACCCAGTAATCCTGTCTTTTGAGAACCATGTGGATTTGTGAGTATTAGGATCTTACTCTGCGGTAAAGGATTGAAAGTCTGTTTTGATCAACTAGAAGTGGGGAGGAGTGTATTCAGTCAGGGGTAAATTAATTCTTGCTGCAATATTTACTGGCAACCTTCTAGCAAATCGAAATCGATGGTGGCCTACTCTTTAAAGTAAAACAAACACCATGCAAAATCCCAGCCAATTACACAAGAAAGCAATTGTATACACATTTGCCCAGAGGTGATATTCAGCAGGTTCTGACCAGTTCTGGAGAACCAATAGCGGAAACTTTGAGTAGTTTAGAGAACCGGTAAATACCACCTCTAACTGCCCCCACCCCCATCCATTCTCTGTCTCTCAAGAGTCCCAGCTGATCGGGAGGGAATGGAGATTTTACAGTATGCTTCCCCTGCCAGGCCCACCAAGCCACATTCACAGAATCGGTAGTAAAAAATTTGATTTTAAAAAACTAGCCATGCTAGTTTTCAGCCAGGAAAAATATTTCATCCAGCTCTGGGTTTTCTCCTGAAGTTGTTCTTTCAATTTGGTGCTGAAAGGCTAAGCAGGATTCGCAATCAGGAGATGGTAAAAGTTGACACCAACTTTTTCCTTTTCAAGGCTTATTTATAAGTAAAAGGAAATTCTCATCCAATCTTCCCATTCATCGAAACAATTATTCCTAGATTTCCTAGAAAATGTATCGATTAAAATGGACTTGGGAAGCGTATTCCATCTGAATAAATGTGGAACGCAGCAGTGTAATTGTTAATTTACTTACTAATTAAGAAAGAGAGAAAAAATCTTAAATTAACTCCAAATAATTTCAAGGGAATTTTTAATACAATTACCATGCAATAGCAAGCATGGGATACGGTAGAGAAGAGGTTCAGACCAAAGTTTAGGGGGAAAAAATCCAAAAAAGTTTCTGGTAGTAAATTTAGATCTGTCTTGCATATGCTAGAATATAAAGATAGAGTAAAACAGGTGAAGCATGGATGATGCTAAGCTCAGTTTTTTTCTTAATACTTTTATACTTTTCCTATACTTTCTGTTAGGCCAAAGCAGCAGACAAAGATGGCTGAGTACTGCAGAACCATCTTTGGGGAAATGTTGCTGACCGAACCCCTGGAAAAATATCTAGTAAGTGAATGAGAAAATTAAATACCTGTAGTTAAGTAGTCATTGGATGCACTTGTTCTAACCATCTGCATTCTGTGTTAATGTGAAGATTATATGAATGTTAACTTGGTCCATTTCTTTTTTTGGTAGCTAAAACCAGGAATTCCACTGCCAAGTCCTCAGGATCTCATGGGGAAGATCTTGATTAAGAATAAGAAGAACCAATTTATGCCTGGGGAGAACCAAGATGCTCTGAAGAAGAGGAAGAGTTTGGAGGATGAAATCACAGACCAACCCATACTTCTAGAAAAGGATAGCACAGGTATCATATCATACAGCAGCCTTTCCAAACTTGGCTCCTCCTCCAGTTGTGTTAGGACTATAATTTCCAGAAATTCAAGACACTTCTGACAAGTGATGTTAATGGGGGAAGTCAGATTCACTTAATGACCACATGATTAGCTTAACAACTGCAGTGATTTGCTTAATTATTGTGGCAAAAAAGATCGTAAAACGGGGCAAAGCTAACATAACAACTGCTTTTCTTAGCAATGGAAAACTTGGCGTCAATTGTAGTTGGAAGTGAAGGACTACTTGTGGTGATTCAGGATTATCTAAGAGACCATATAAACAGCATCATGCTTGTATAAAAATATAGATGTTATGGAGGTCTTAGAGAACATATATAAAAGAGAACAGAGCTGCATGAAAGTCTGGTTCTCTTTAACAAAATGAAAGACTAATGATAGAAGTATATAAAGATGATGTAAAGCTTCAAGATGTAGATTTAGATTTAGATTTTAATAAGACTTATAGGCCGCCCTTCTCCCTGAGGGCACTCAGGGCGGCTTACAATCACAAAGGGAAGGGTGTGCAGTAACAAGGCAAANCCAGTCACTCCTCATCTCGTCCGCTTGCCTGGCATAGCTGTTGCTGCTTTCTGTCTGGCTCCCTGGTTTCTACCTAGCTACGCCCAGCCAGTCACATAACCACCTAGCCATGCCCACCTAGCCACGCCCACAGAAGCTGTTGTTAAATTATTTGAATCCCTCCACTGACTCCAGGTGGAGGGACCCAAAAATTTACTATAGCTACATCATCCATTCTGTGAAAAAAAATACATTCTTTAGGGGAAACTGAAATTCTTGCTAAATATATTTTTCTATTTCACATGTAGCTTTTTCTTTGTTCTATGACATACTGCGATCTCTTTTTTTGTGTCATATTTAGGCACAGTGACATATTGAGGCACAGGAGAAGGAATTCATGTTATAATTCAGAATATATTGTTAAATCTTATCGTGAGTTGTTCTTTCATTTCCAGAATGATGGTATCAATCCAGAAGACTTTCCTGAAAAAGTATATAAAACATTCCTGATGAACCTGTGTCCTCGGCCAGATATTGATGAAATATTTACCTCACAGTAAGCTTTCATAGAGTAAGAGATACTATGTAGGTAAAGGGAGTCTGAGTGAATCCAATGAAATCTAGCACAGTTCTCATTCTTCAGCATTTCTTGTGCTTTGTGTTTGGTTGGATTCATATGAGTCTTTGGGGATTCTGTATTTGCATTATGTGTCATCCAGAATTGCAGGCTAACTCTGCCCACTGCCTGGAGTTTGATCCTAACAGGTCTCAAGGTTATCTCAGCCTTCCATCTTTCCAAAATTAGGCTCCAGATTCTTGGGGGCAATATGCTGACATTGTAAAACACCCAGAGAATGCTGTAAAATACTGTGGGCCAGTATATGTCTATGGGCTGTTGCTATTGCTAGTATATCTTATTACATACCATTTTCTCTCCAAAGGGAATTCTTTATGGGTGTTAGCTGTTCATTTGTTCAGTATGCAGACATTTAGGAAAGCTTTAGGATGATAAAGGAAGCACTTTAGATTGAGCTTTATTTTTGCACCAATTGTTTCATGTCTTATAGTGCTGAATCTGCAGTGCAGAAAAAGATAAGATGGAACAAGCTTGTTCAATACTAAAAACAAATTGAAAGTTGCCTTGCTCCTAAGGGGAGGAGGGCTTTTCCAGGGACCTCTAAAGACACTCTTCTTCATTGTTTCTCCTTAGCCATTCAAAAGCCAAGCCGTACATGACGAAAGATCACTTGACAAAATTTATCAACAAGAAACAGCGAAATTCCCAACTCAATGACACGCTTTTCCCTCCTGCCAAACCAGACAGAGTACAGGGTCTCATAGAAAAATATGAGCCCAGTGGGATGAATATTCAAAGAGGTGAGTCTGTTTCATTAGAATGAGGTTTTGTCATGATCCCAAGTCCATTAGAGACAACAGAGTGCTACACACTGTCCAGTTCTTATGTGGCTGTGAACCAGTGGTGGGATTCAAATTTTTTTGCTACCGGTTCTGTGGGCATGGCTTGGTGGGTGTGGAATGGCTTGGTGAGCATGGCAGGGGAAGTTTATTGTAAAGTCTCCATTCCCTTCCCACTCCAGAAGGATACTGCAAAATCTCCATTTCCTCCCCATTCCAGGGGAAGGATACTGCAAAATCCCCATTCAGCTGGAACTCAAGAGGCAGAGAATAGATGGGGGTGGAGCCAGTCAGAGGTGGCATTTATTGGTTTTCTGAACTACTTAAAATTTCCGCTACCGGTTCTCCAGAACTGGTCAGAACCTGCTGAATACCACCTCTGATGTTAACAGGATAGGAAGCATAAAGCAGGAGTGAATGTGTTCATGTGTGCTTGTTTGAATATCTATACACATATACATTCTATAAACACGCAGATATTTGGCAGTTTGGTAATTATATTGCTGAATCGCCTCCCAAATATCAATAGAATATCTGTAAGACCTATAAAACAGCAGTGTTGAGAGTCTTGTGAATACCTCAGGGTTTTCAAGAGTTTTGTGAATACTTCAGAGTATGCCATCAGAAACCATTTGGCCTTTTCTTTATTAACAGTCCTCTTCTCCCAGAATATATATATATATATATACACATACATACACACACACACACACACACACACACACACACACACACACACATATATATATATATATATATATATATATATATATATATATATTACACACACACATACACACATACATACATACATACTGTAGTCCTAACATTGTGGAATGCTTCCTTATAGCCTTTTCCTCTTGATTGATTGATTTATTTTATTTAGTTTGTCAAACATATACGAGATACGAGATAAGTATAAGTATAAACATGGACACAAGTACACTAAATGAGTACAAATAAATGAGGACAGTAGAACAGGATCAGTAAGCATGCTGGTGCGCTTATGCATGCCCCCTTACAGACCTCTTAGGAATGGTGTGAGGTCCGCGGTAGACAGTTTAAGGTTAAAGCTATGGGGGTTAGAACTTAGAGGAAGTAACAATGGAGTTTCTAACAATCTCTTTGTCAGCCAACAAAAATTGGGTGAAGTTGCCTAAACAAGGAACCTCTAGCAGATTGAATGGAATCAGGAATAAATATTGTGAAATAATTATAACTCACAACAATCATACCTCTATTGCCTTTGGTTTTAAGTCAGAATAGCCCCGGGGGATGGGGGAGGCAGTTGGAGTGTCCAATGCAGGGACAGATACCTAGTTTCCTCCAGAAGGTTTATTCTCTAACTTCTTCAATTCCTTGTCATTGGCTGAGGCTAATTGGAATAAAAATCCAGAACATTTGGAAAGCAGCAAAATACTTATCCCTGATTCAAAGTCGTTTTCTTCTCGAATTCCACTTCCAGTCACAATACAATTGTTTGCCTCTGCAGGGCAACTATCTCCTGAGGGAATGGTTTGGTTCCTGTGTGGTCCTGAAAACAGCATCGTGTCTCAGAACAAACTGCTGCTATACCAAGATATGAACCAGCCACTCTCCCATTATTTCATCAACTCATCCCACAACACTTACCTAACAGGTATGGTGATACTACCAAGATGCACTCATTTGTCCCAGTTAGGATCATTTTCTCCAACTTTTATATGTGTTTAGGATTACAATTCCCCACATTTCCTGGTTCTTTCAGTTCAAAAAAGATTAGTTAACAGGTGCTATGAAAGATAGTCATCCAAGATCTAGCCATTGATGATCAAAGAAAATAGGCAAAATGGATCGATGTCAGGTGTGCCTCCATTCAAAACCCAAAAAAGAAAACCCCCAACTCTATGTCGGTAGGGAAGAGGTACTATTACTGAGTTTGAAATGATAGCAATGAAAGGAAAGCAAGCTCTGAAGCAAAAGGCACGAAAATTACATATTGAAAGTATTCCCAAATCCCTCCTCACAAGGACCCAGGCTGAATGTCCAATCCCCAACACATTATGGGCTTGATGGCGAACATATGACACATGTGACACAGGTGGCATGCAGAGCCCTCTCTGCGGGCACACCAGCCGTCACCCCTATCATGCATGCACGGGGACGGGGTGCACATTACCTTACCTGGAGGATCTTAGGATCTGGATAGGGGTGAACAAGCTGGCTCTCAATCCTGACAAGACCGAGTGGCTTGTGTTTTTCCCTCCCAAAAATTGGCCATGTATTCCATCTCTNACCCTATCTGAGGGGTATAAAATTTGACCCCCCAGCCTGAGTGTTGGAATGTCGACCAAATTATTGGGAGGAAAGCACAACAGCCACTCGGTCTTGTCCTTAACACTTTCTTCTCGTTTTCCTCTACAATAATAATTTTGCTGGGTAACTTGGCCTGGGACACAGTGACTGTCCCAAAGTCATCTAATGAGCTTACAGTTCAAAGAGCAACATCTACTTTTGTATTTGCTGTTAAAGAAATAAAATCTGAATTCATGTCCCCCCAAAACCATGTAAATTTAAAACAATGATAGGGGCTCAATAACCACTGCTAATTATTTTCTTATATATTACAGATCCCTATAAGATAAAGGAGCTACATTGGTATATATCCAAACTAACCTTCTTAATTTGCTTTGAGTTAACGTTTTTATGACCTGCCTCCCTTGACTATTACTATATTGTAGTTCACATCGGTCAATAATTTGTGCCTGGGTGAATGAGCTTCTAGAGTTCCAGAATAGATAGTTGGATGGAGAAAAGCAGAAAATATCAGTCTGGAGAAATTAGATTAGATGAGAATTTTCATAAGCATATTGATTTTTCTTTCATATTGTCAGTCAAGCCAGTTGAGGAGGGTGAAAAAGTTCCTGAAGCAGAGAGAAATTTGGAAAACCTAAATGAGGAAGAGATTAAAAAGCTACAGTCTGATGAGGTATGATTTATGATTTTGTGTATCTAGCCTAAGTATAAGGTAATTATTCCAAGACTTAAGCTTAGCTTCCAAGGCCTTAGCTTAATGATCTCTTGTACCGTAATAACTATTCATAGGATAATGTCCTGCCCTTAACCAGATGAAATAGTTTGGACCTCATACTTTCCTTCACTTAAAGGAAGATGATCAGAGGACCTCATAAAAAGTTAAAAAAAACTTCCTTTTTAATGAAATAATTAAGCACTGTGATTTTCTGCTAAGCTCTATGAACCTTTTAACGGAATAACAGAGCTGGAAGCGACCATGGAGGTCTTCAAGTCCAACCCCATGCTCAAGCAAGAGACCCTATATTATTCCAGACAAGCGTCTGTCCAGAGTCTTCTTAAAAGCCTCCGGTAATGGAGCAGCCATAACTTCTGGAGGCAAGCCGTTCCACTGGTTAATTGTTTTCATGGTTAGGAAAATTCTCCTTAATTTTAGGTTGCTTCTCTTCTTGTTCAGTTTCCATCCATTGTTTTTTGTCTTGCCCTCTGGAGCTTTGGAAAATAGGTTGAGCCCCTCTTCTGTGTGGCAGTCCCTCAAATATTGGAGCACTGCTAATCTATCATGTACCCATAATCCTTTTTTTTCACTAGAGTCATGATTACACGTTTTTGTATACTTTATGTGTTTATCACCGTGATGGCGAACGTATAGCACGTGTGCTGGAAGTGGCATGCAGAGCCAACTCTCCGGGCATGGCAGCCATCACCTGTTGCTTTTGCAGATGCTGGCACACCAGCCAGCTGGTCTTTGCCACGCAGGAGTTCAGGAAACAGGAAAAGCAGCTCCCTGGCATGCATGCGTGCACCGGGAAGCTGAGCTTCCAGTTTCCAGCTCTCCCTCATGTATGTGCGCTCCCCGCCAACACTGGTTTATCATATATCATGACTATTGGGATACTTTGCACAGATTATTTTATCTTGGTGTTGATGGTGTTATTACTTTGCACTTCATCCTTTGTATGATTCGCTCAAGAAATGTAACAGAATAGTTCACTCTGCAGGATTGAAATATACCTTGGAGTCATCTGCCCTATCATAAAAGATTAGCTCTTTAAATATTTTGTGTCTCCTCCTGAATTCTGACAGAGTGTGACTTTTGGGATTATTTTAATAATGACAATGTAGGCTAAATGTTTTAATAAATAAATGAAGTTCCTTTGGAAGTCTGGAAGGCATAACTCTGACACAGCTATGGGGAAAGCCTGTAAAGTTTGTATTGTCTTTAGCTTAGATGTTTTGCCACACGGCTTCTAAACTCTACCCTCTCTGGTGTGTCAGTAATACCAATCAGGTATTCTTGCCCAATTAGTTAGAAGCGGGCAAGAGAAAACCAATTAACCCTCCAGAGGCAGAATCATAAATAGGGCTATGCTTATCCCTCTTTTGAATATACTAGTTCTAATTTTACAAGAACAGCGTTGCTCAACCTGATGACTTTTCAGGTAGGTTTGAACTACAACTCCCAGAAGACTGAACTAAGGATATGTAAATAGATGTGTATCTGTGCTTCCCCAGTTTAATTGGAGATCCCATTCTGAAAGGCTCAGATCTGCAGGGTATATCCATATTCACTGGTTGCCCTTTATTATTCTTCCGAATTCTACTTAGTCCTTTCTGATTCTTATTTTGCACACCACTGGATTTTGCATCACAACAATTCGCTCTGTAACACTCCAAATTCTGTTTAGGGAACTGCAGGTCTGGAAGTGACTGCCTTTGAAGAAATGTCCAGTCTGGTGAATTACATTCAGCCCATCAAATTTGAGAGTTTTGAAATTTCAGCACGTAAGAATGATTTGTTTTCTCCTGTTAAGGAAAACATTTTCATATGGTAAAGCTAGCCTCAGATATATTTGCCCTGAAAATGGTGTGTTTATTAACTGTGTAAATGTCATTCTTTAACACTGTTCTTTAGGACTTATATGGGGTGGGGTGGGGAATATGATACAGGGCAGTATCAATTAAGGAAAATGTATTGCATCCCTAGATGAATTGTATGATTCAGTGATTCTCTAAGTGAGCAGAAATTGACCCTGCTTCTACATGAAGCAAAATTAAATACAAGATTTACCTTCTTGTGGATTTTTTGTGCATCACTGATTCATTGAGAGCTAGGAGGGAGAAAAATGTATAACCGTAGCCCTGTATCACTATCTGCATTTACATTACATTTGCCAAAGTTTATATAAAATATTCTCTACTTTGGGTCAAATATTGAATGAGAATTCATAAAAGTGATGAAAACTCAAAGAAATTGCAGACTTTGTCCCTTCCATTTGTTTTATGCTAGAATAAAAGATAGTTAATAAATAATAATGAAACTGAGGTAAAGAATTCAAATAAATTATTTCTTATGAAAGATATTCATTTTGTGCAAATATTAACAGTGGAAAAACTCAGGTGATTCTATCTTCTAGTCAAAGGTTGAAAAATTTAAAAGTGTTAAATTTTTCTGATCCCCTTCCTGAATTTAAAGAAACTGGAGGGCTGGATTTTGTTTTTCAAAATACTGTCAGCATTAACTCATGTTGTTGGAAATGCTGGGAATTGAAGTTGAAGTATCTTGAGGACTCCAGCTTTCAAAGTTAATCTATTGATTCTACTTCATTTTCATACATGCTCCTAGATACAACTAAAATAGCTTCACTGCACGTAAGTGGAAGTTTATTGTACAATTATGTTGTGAAGGTTCTACAGCTTGTGGCAAGTAGAATTTGTGGCAATACAAATGCCATCCCCTTGGGAGCCCATTTTCACTGGCAGAGCATTCAGGCCACCACAAGCCTCCCCAATAGGAGTGATGTTGAGCTGGCCACCCCAATCCCCAAGGTCAAACATAACCCTGATGCAGCCCTCAATGAAGTTTGACAACCCTGCCATAAGTAATCTTCTGCATTTGCTTCCATGCTCAATGGAATCCTAAAATGAATCTCCACTTGACTCCAACCCTTTCTTCTTTTATTTTTTATGTGAAGAAGCAACCAGCATTTTTATTTAGAAATGATAACAAGGATTGGAAATTAAATGGAAGAAGGGATGGATTTGGAAACAAAAGATTGATTATGCTCTATGTTTTCTTCCTTATTATTCCAGAGAAAAACCAGAGTTTTGTTGTTTCCTCCTTCACTGAGTTGAAGGCTTATGAGTTGTTGACCAGGTCACCCATCCAGTTTGTCGAGTATCCTTTTTAAAGGCATCTCCTTAGTGATTAGTTATATTATATATCTATGTACTGGTAGAGAACTCATTCCAATTTATACATATATGCCCAAAGAGAATTTCTCTGTACAAATGAAGTTGGGATAATAGGTGCACATTCCATGGTGTCAGACATAATGTGCAGATACCTACAGAGTTTAGTAATTGCTGTTTTATTATTGTAATAGAGATTGTTACTGGTATTAGCTAGCTGTAGTGTATTAATAATATTAGATATTAAGAATTCATTTAAAAGCTGTTCACTATTAATCATTCTATTTGGAGGATATGATTCTTGCATCAATATCTATTGGAAAAAACTCTTGCCACTATTTTATGTGTGCAGAACAGTTATAAGGTTTATTTCTGAAAATCTCCTGTCTTCATTGCCTCTGTGTCCCTTAATTGCAATGTACAAAGAATATTCTTTGCTTCCTTTCAGTTGCACAATGATTTGTTTCAGCATAATATGAATTCAATCGATAATGAGTGGGCAGGAATGGCATTCTGGTTAAATGTGTACAGCTGTTTATCATGTAAAATGAGAATAGTCATTGCATTCATTCAAATAATGAACTCCTATTAAAAGAAATTAAGCTACAACAAAAGACAGATGAGCCGAATTTATCCCAAAGGTACTCGGATGGATTCTTCTAACTATATGCCACAGATGTTCTGGAATGTTGGGTGTCAAATGGTGGCATTAAACTTTCAGACAAGTGGTGAGTAGAGCACTTCTTTGACTTGGGTCCACCTGCTGTATTAAATTTCTAGCTCTGCTATTGTTTTGCATAAATGTACTTACAGTATTTAATTAACAAACCTATATAGCTGCCCATGTATCAGAAAAAACTCTGATGGAAAACAAAAACTGAATATACTGAAAAACAATTTAAAAACAGTCAGCATAAATAATGTTGAATCCCAATAATCTCCTCTGCCACTTCCTTTCCTAGATGTCCCAATGCAGCAGAACATGGCTCTGTTTGAATTCAATGGGCAAAGTGGCTATCTTCTTAAACATGACTTCATGCGTCGTCCAGACAAGCACTTTGATCCTTTTTCAGTGGATCGGATTGATGTAGTTGTGGCAAGCACTTTGTCAGTCACCGTAAGTGACCACTTTGGGATTGATTGGGGCAGTGGTGGGTTTCCACATTTTTTACAACCTCTTCTGTAGGTGTGGCCTGCTTTGTGGGAGTAGCTTGCCAGCCATGTGACCAGGTGGGAGTGGCTTGGCAGTCATGTGACTGGGTGGGCATGGCCAACTTTTAAAATGTGGTGAAACTTACTTAACAACGTTCTTGCTTGGCAACCAAAAAGTTGACTCAGAAACTCTGGCATTTGAAGCACGCAAGTCTTAAAGCTTTCAAGTCACAAGACCCTTGCACCCCTAACCCTTTAGAACACCCCCCCCCAGGGGTGTTCAATCTTGACAGCTTTAAGACTTGTGGACTTCAACTCCCAGAATTCTTCCTCTTGCTCTTCATCTTGATGATGTGCAGATGGGTGTGGGGAGGGAGCTGGAACTGGTTTTAAATGGCACTGTAGATTTGTGGAACCTCTTCTATAGAAGAGGTTAGAACTGGCAGGAACCCACCCCTGGATTGGGGGATTTGCTGCCCAGAGGTATGGTGCCAAATATCCAGTGTATCCACTGCCCAGTAAGATCTGCATGGCAAAGTAATTCTACAGTGACCTGGAGGACATTCTGATTATAGAAAAATATAGTTGTTTCTGTGTTTGAATAAATGAATTCCATCTCATGCAATTAGCACTCACTTGGCCAGTTGTAGCAATAGAAAGAATGATAATGACACAAATAAACTAATTTGCAATTTTAGGCAAAAGATGGGTGCATCTATTCTATTGCAATAGAGTATTGGACACATGCACACCATGTCCAAACAGAACAAATCTGTTTGAAGTCTCCTCACTGAGTAAGCTACCATATGGCCATGGCTATATCTGACTGCGAATCTGGTGTTCTCCAGCAGCTGGAAATATTCCCAAATCAGTCTCTCAGTTCTTTGAATTCCTCATGTTCATGTAGCAGTTGGTGTGAACATCTAATCCTTTTTTTAAAACATAATTCCTTTTCCTAGAAGTAGTAGCATCAGCATGCTTAGGAATTTAACTGTGTCACTAGAACTAAAGAAAGCAGTTCAGATAATAATCCTTGAATTCAGATAATACTACTTATATAGTCTAATTTCACTGTAAATACACAAATGTTACACAACTTTTGAATTCATGCTTTCCACTGAAAGGAGGAGAAAGCTCTTTTTGAAGGGAGTTATAATGTTCATTGATACTTTATGTTAAGCTTCAAATTATCTGCTTACTAAAATCTAGAAAATTAAAGAGAAACTAAACTAGAATACTTCTGAGTGATGTGACATATTTTCCATGTCAAGCAGTTTTTGATACAAAAAAGCATTGAGACATGAATTTCTATGAACAGCATTCCACAATAATATTGTCCCAATAGAATAGATAGATGAATTTGTGAGGTGAGCAAATATACAGTCTAAGAAATAAAGTGGACAGTAATATAAGACTAAAGGGTCTTAAATAAGCTAATGGGAAATGAACCTGAAGGATTTAAGTACATAATATCTTAAAACAAAGATGCAAGTACTTCAAAGGTTGTTACACATGACACAAAAGTGGAAATTATTCAACATGTGACTGTACTTAATAATAATTACATGAACAGAATATTGGAAGTGAAACAAAATGAAAGTTAGCTTTTATCCCAGCCCCACCCACACTTTTTTGGAATGTAGTTCTTGGCGTGATCGCTCAAAGGGCAGATTCAGCCTAAGAAAAATTATGTGTGCCTCAGGCCAAAAAGAAAAGAAAAAGGACTTAAGAGCTAATGCTGAATCTTTATGTAATAAATTACTGTGTTGTTCTTGTTCCGTGCACAGATCATTTCTGGCCAGTTCCTTTCAGAACGCAGCGTGAAGTCCTACGTAGAGGTAGAGTTGTTTGGCCTACCAGGAGATCCAAAGCGTAGATACAGAACCAAAGTGACACCAAATGCCAACTCAATCAACCCTATATGGAATGAAGACCCTTTTGTGTTTGAAAAGGTAACATGTTGTGTCACTTCCAAGGGTGATATATCTGCTGTTTCCAGATCCTAGGCATTTAAGGGAAGGGAGATTCTTCTGTCGTTCTTGTTATAGGAAACAGTGTAAAATGGAATTAAATAAGCAGGATCAGCAACACATTATGAGAGGAAATATTAGAATCATCACTTAGTGATAGGATTGGGGAAAATATTCAGGAACACATTTCCTTGAGTAAGAGCTGTCCTCAAAAATTCCAAGCAATAGAGGTTGTTATAATTTGTAGTTTCATATGGGCAGAATACTTTGCAGACTTAATTTCCTTGTTTCTAGTGACCCTCTCAGGTACTCGTTAATATTTCAATGCTGCAAATGGGAAATTTAAGGAAAAGTGAGGTATATTCAATTCAAAGCTTCTATTGGGTGTGGGGGAGCCCTCCTAAAATATGTCAGATCGAGGGTTACGAATTCTGTGCTTTCTAAAAAAAAATAAACATTTGCAAAAGCTCAAGATCACAACATATGGAAATAGATGCCCCTTTCATTGCATTATAATCTTCATTATTCTGCGCATGAATTGCAACACATTTGCAATACCTAGTATGAATATAAGAAAACCAATGCAGAACTATCTTCTTAAAATTAGGAATGCAGAAAACAGCCATATACAGATCAGCAGTGGTGCTTATGTAATCCACACTGTCCACAATGACTTTAGGCATATAGGTGAGCAGAGGAAGACAGAGAGAGTGGTGGGGAAGGAGAGAACCAAGAGATATAAAGAAGGCTTCAGTATAGTTATCTATATATTTCTAAGAATATCATACTTTTAAGCAGGTCATTTTTTTGTTTATACCTCTTGGCTATCAGAAAAGTTTATGTTAGGCAGAATCAACCCTCCCTGCAAAGGGGTGGCTGACCTTGAAACTGGCAGAATATTTCTTTTTTTTAAAAGGGATTTTATTCTTGAGCTAAGCTGAATCAGGAAGGGAGAAAGCAGCTGATGAAAAGGAATAGCTGGGAATGTGATGGGGAGAAAGGGAAACAGCTCAGCGACTTGCTTTTAAAATCTAAATAAGCCATATCATCCACAAAAACACCGAAGAGAAGCCCTTTTAGATATTTATTTTATTTACTTATTTTTATTTATTTAATAATTTTGTCAAGCATGTATTAGACAACACACACATATATGTACAAACATGATTTTGGATACATGAAGTGGATACGAATAAAAAGAGACATTAGGATAGGGACGGTAGGCACGTTGGTGCGCTTATGCATGCCCCTTACAGACCTCTTAGGAATGGGGTGAGGTTGACAGTAGACAGTCTAAGGTTAAAGTTATGGGGTTTTGAGGAAGAAACCAAAGACTCAGATAGTACATATACAGAAGATAAGGGGACCCCCAAACTGTAGCTAGAATAGAATAGAATAGAATAGAATAGAATAGAATAGAATAGAATAGAATAGAATAGAATAGAATTCTTTATTGGCCAACTGTGATTAGACACAGAAGGAATTTTGATGCACATGCTCTCAGAGTACATAAAACGACAAGATACATTTGTCAAAAATCATAAGGTACAGCATGTAATGATAGTCATAGGATGCAAATAAGCAATCAGGAAACAATCAATATCAATATAAATTGTATGGATACAAGGAACAAAGTTACAGTCCTGCAGTCATAAGTGGGAGGAAATGGGTGATAGGAACAATGAGAAGACTAATAGTAATAATAATGCAGCCTTTGTGAATCGTTTGACAGTAGTGAGGGAAATATTTGTTTAGCAGAGTGATGGCATTTGGGGAAAAACTGTTCTTGTGTCTAGTTGTCTTGGTTGTGCAGTGCTCTGTAGCGTCGCTTTGAGGGTAGGAGTTGAAACAATTTATGTCCAGGATGCAAGGGGACTGTAAATATTTTCACCGCCCTCTTTTTGACTCGTACAGTCCCTCAATGGAAGGCAGGTTGGAAGTAATTGTCTTTCTTGCAGGTCTGATTATCCAGATGATTATGCAGATGACAGACTCAATAATTCCTCTGTAGAAGGAAGTTCTGTAGCTATGGAACTAATTTTCTCCACCTTGGGTTTTTTTAGGTTACAAACTGTCATACAATTTTTTTCCCTGCCAGATTTTGATGCCAGAGTTGGCTTCTCTCAGAATAGTAGTTTTGGAAGAAGGTGGGAAGTTCATTGGTCACCGCATTATCCCAGTTACTGCTGTGTGCTCTGGTAAGACTTTTTTTTTTTACCACAACCCTGGGGTGGCTTCCCATAACTCTTGATCTCCTTCACAGAGCCATAGAAGAAGGCTGGCTCAAAGCCATCTTTGAGCAATCTTCAAAAGCATAAAGTACTAAAGTAGGATCTCCTCGTGAGAACTAGAAAATCTGAAAACCTTTCATTCATGTCTAATTGATTACAAATGGAAGTAGCTGCACAGTACTTTAACCCTACTCAGGGCTAAAACATCTGAAAGTGAGGGTAGAGAGAACTATAGGAAATGGAGTAATGTGTGCCACCAGACCTTTTCATTATTTTTCTTCTTCTCATATTTGAAAGAATGCACAAAGAGAGCTCATTCCTTAAGAGAGAGAGAGAGAGAGAGAGGGAGAGAGAGAGAGAGAGAGAGAG